CAAGAGTTCAACAAGTTCAAACGTTCATATCTATTTCTCTCAAGTCTCCGGCATATCATAAATGATCATGTTGGCAATTTACATACAAGATATTTCCAAATTAGGCATGATTTGGGTCCTAAACTACCCAAGCAATTAATATCATAGTAGCTACGCACGGACTCTCGTCACCTAGTACGTACGTAGCCCCCGCATTTAGTAGCAAATTCTTATTTATTAATCCTATGGGGACAATTCCCTCTTACAAGGTTAGAAAGGAGACTCACCTCGCTCCAAAGCGCACTTCCATTATCAAAAACAAGTCCAAGCCTCAAGTCGGAGTCAAACGATCACAAACTAGTTAAAGGAAGTAAGAACTAGTCAATATAAGTTTACAAGATCGAATTCTAGCTATTTAAGCCATTTCCCAACCCTTTTCACAAGTTTCCTAAATTTCGACCCCGGGTCCACGTGCCCGGATTCCGAGATTTTTCGAAGGAAGTTGTTCTCTCTAACCTAAGGATCAATAATATATGATTTCTAGTTCATTACATAGCAAATTACATGATTAAATCTTAGTTTTATTAAAACCCTAGGTCTAGCTCTAACCCTTGATTTTACTTAGTTTTTAGTGTTTAATCTACCCAACGTACATGTATTTTAAACTAAGGATGGAGGGAGATTACTTACCTTACAATACTATGTTGAAATCCTCTCTTTGGAAGCACCCAAATCGCCCAAGTGTGGAGTAGTGAATGAAATAAATGACCTTGAGTTCGAATTAAAAGAGCTCACTGCCTAGCGGTTTCCGCTTCTGCGGTTTGGGGACCGCATCTGCGATCCCGCACCTGCGGAAAGGAGGCCGCATCTGCGGCTCTGGGCTTACAGCGACTGGACCGCTTTTGCGGTCTGGAGGGCGCTTCTGCGGAACCGCTTCTGCGGTTTCTGAACTGCTTCTGCGGTTTTCCCCGGCCTGGGCACTGGCCGCATCTGCGAAGACTTGACCGCATCTGCGGTCCTAGAACCGCAGATGCGGTTATGACAGAAGCAGCAGTTCAACCCTTTCTTCAATTTTTAACTTCACTCGAGCCTCGATCGTTTGACGCTCGGGGCTCCCGAGCCCCGCCCGAACATACCGACAAGTCCAGAATCACGAGGCGGACGTACTCGAACCCTCGGATCACTCAAAACAACGCTAAATCTAGGAATCACGCCCTAAAACCAAATGATTCAAACTATTGAACTTCAAGTTCTTAATTCTCTTCTAATGGGTCAAAACGCCCTTAAACTACTCGGATTGACACCAATTTTTACGGGTAAATCTTAACTGACATTTTGGACCTGTACCAAGTTTCGGAACCAAAATCCGAGCCCGATACTTAGGAAATCAATGAATACTTAGTTTCTTAAATTCTTTAAAACTTCAATTTAACAATTTCACATAAAAATTCACTACTCGGGCTAGGGACCTCGGAATTCGATTCCGGACATACACCCAGGTCCCATATTTTTCCCAGGGACCCTCCGGGACCGTCAAATCACGAATCCGGGCCCGTTTCCCATGAAAGTTGACCGAAGTCAAACTTGATCTTTTAAGAAAATCTTAAAGAAGCAAATGGGCATATTCTTACTCAAAACTCTTCCAACTTCCGAACCAACCGTCCCCGCAAGTCATAAGTTAGCTAAAGAAAGTGCGGAAAGTTTTATTTAAGGGAAGGGGTTCTAAATGGCAAAACGACCAGTCGGGTCGTTACAGAAATAGAAGTCATTGTTACAAATCACTAAAATTATATGTTACAAATCAATATTTTTGATACGAAATATAGATATATATGTTACAAATCACTAAAATTATAAGAACAAAATTTAAATTTTAATCTATAATTTCTAAATGTTAATGAATTCAAGGTAAAAACTTAATGGTTAAAACCGTCAAATATAAATTCTAGATTCACCTCTTTGTAGTTGTGCACCCATCTCCTTAGAATCCTGGATCCGCCTCCGAGTCCCAGGTCGCTTCTGGTGGCATTAAAATCCAAAACGAGTGAAATAATCAAGTACAGACCTTTCCCTATATTTTTCATCAGCTTCACCAAAATAGATCAAGGGAGTGCTTTTTTCCCCATATATGCCCTGAGCTTTGTAAATCTGCAATAATGGTATCAAAATTTAGCAACATTCTATTGAACACCTTATTTTGAAAATTTTATGCTAGAACAAAATCATTTTCGACCATACCAGCGATTTATCAGGCTTAATGACAGGTGAATAGAAGCAAGAGATGAAGTCTATCCAGGTATTCATTTCATCGTGGTTGAGTTTGCCGGCACTAGATAAATCATCAGCCAACAAAAAGTTAGTTTCCTTATATATATATATATATATATATATATATATATATATATATATACCCACAATCGTCAAAACGAGACACTCTTCTTCAAAATTAAGATCCATCAAACATGAGTGCACATAACTCATCCTTTTTAGAGATAAACATTCAATACACAGTCCATACACAGCCTATCAACAGTAAGTAAATGAAGTACCAATGAAGATCTTTACAGGAAGTAGTGCATGTTTCTTTCAACAAGCCAATTAAAGAACAGTAAAATATGCAACTTCACAAGAATAGATTTAAGTAAATCCTTATTAAGATACATATTTGAATTTGTCAATTTATCAAAAATGGGACACATAATGCCAAAAAGTAAAATTGGTAGTTGTTTCAAAGGAAGAGATTGTAGGAATGCATTGCTTGATAATTCCTTCAAATATGTCAGGATTTTACAAGTAAAACAAAAAAAAAAAACAAAAAAAAAATGAAGAGTGTTTACAATACAAAACAGAAGATTGCACAATTACAGGATATGAAGCCATATAAGACAATTACAGGAACATAGAAATACAGCAACTAATTATAATATAAGACGTTATATTGCATGCCAAGTGACAAGAGAATAGGGTTGTGCATAATTTGGTAAATAACGAATTACCGTACCGAAACCGAAAATTTTGGTATTTGGTATTAGATATTTTGGTATTCAGTATGGTATTTGGTTTAAGTTTTAAAAAAATATGGTATTAGGTATAGTATTTGGTATTTTTTAATGAAATTCCGAAATACTGACACCGTACCGAAATATATATTATATTACAAAAAACACATATTATTAATTATAAGGTAAAAAATCAAACTTTACTTTCCTTTATTCTCTAAGTTCATCAATTAAGTCTAAGCCAGTAAGAAGATACTTCTAATCTATGTTGCGCGGACTCTTCAAAATATTGCCGCACCCGTGTCGGATTCTCCAAAAATACATTGCTTTTGGAGAATCCCACACGCACCCGGCAATATTTTCGGAGAGTCCGAGCAACATAGCTTCTAATGATCGAATTTATTCCTTTATGTGCAGTTTTCTCTCTCTAGATTGATATTAGCTGGTTTTGGACAAAACTTTTGTCAACAAATGTTTTCTGTTTTGTACTTTTGAGTACTTTAACTAAGAAACTATAGTCTATGACTCTATGCACTTGTTAGTATTCAAACCGAATAAACCGCAGTTACCGAACCGAATAAACCGAAACCGAAAAGAGAAAAACCGAACCATACCGAATTTAATTAGATACAGTATTGGTATAGCATTTTAAGAAACCGAATACCGAAAATACCGAACCGAAATGTCTAAATACCGTACCTTACCCACCGATCAAAACCCTTAGGAGTCTTATGAACACCCCTACAAGAGAATATACAAAAAGATCAATTTCAAAATTGCATAGTGTTCCAGTTAAAAAACATATAGATGATACCTTACCATCCGTTATATTTAATAGGAAAGAGCATAACCACTTTGGCCTGCAAAAAGATGTCAATCACATAAATTAGTTAATTAACAAAAATATTGTTCGCCCAACGGACTATAACAAGCATGCACGAGGAAAATGCTGACTTTATCTGTTGAAGATATAATTACATAAATAGAAGTAAGTTATATTTTTGCAATAAGTAGAGATCCTAAGTTCTCAACTGCCATAAAGAATTCCCACGTGTTGTGCCCATGAAAACGAATCAGGCCAGTACATGAGGTGGCATGTTGAATGCGTAATTAAATAAATGAAAGTGTATTCTCTTTAACGGATTAAGCTTTTAATGAAATAATCAAGCTTTTCTATTCACTTATGTAATTAGGATATTTCCTTCCTAGTTTTTTTCTTATTAAGTAAGAAAATCCATTAATGAAAGGCATCAAGTAGATGCATGATTACAAAAGCGTTTTATAAGTTAGCTCCATTACATATGGCTATGCTAGGATCAGGGAGCTAACAAAGTCAAAAGATTCTCCAAAGCTATTTACAGGAGAAAGGAAGTTCCAACCGAACAAACTAACAAAGCACCTAGCTTTTAAAGAGTGAGTGGAGTTGATTTGCTATCAAAGCACTTGCTATTCCTCTCTGCCCAAATGCACCAAAAGATTGTTGCTGGGATTATTCTCCATGGCCTTATCAACTCTCCAAAAGATTCTGACCTGATATAACTTTAGGAAGAGCAATTTGCTTAATCTTTCGAAAGGTATCATTCCACTCAGATGATATAAGGAACCTGTCTATTTTGGGAAACTACCTAATGCCACTAGATTGAGTAATCTGCTTCCACCAACTAGAATCTTCCTACTTCTTAATTCCAAGTTTCTCCACTTCCCCAAACCTCTGTCCCCCTACAGCCTCCTTCCCTTACCATCGCTCTTCTTCCCCTATGGTATGTATGATTGCTTGTCTCCTACATATCATCCCTATGCGTTACCATTTGCACTTTTGCAACTGTGTTAAATGTTTTTACGCTATTCATGTTATTTTGTTGTTATTGCTTTTTAGCTTTTAACAAAGTTCTATTATATACAAATAAAATGCAAAACTTTTTCACTATAATGAAGGTACTGACCCGATTTTCAGTATGGTGTATGAATCCATATCTATCGTAATCTCTCTCATCAATCTTGCTCCAAAGTATTTCCTCCATGTTCGTTTGCTTATCCGTGAATGTCGCATCTCTTGCCATATCATGCTCCGGACGCTCTGGAAGCTCCTCAACATCCATGGTGCAGAGTATAAACTGTATAATAGTTACCGAATAAAAAAATGTATTGCACTAGTCAAGGTTCGGGGTGCAAAATGTAATATGTAGAGAAATCATCAAATAATAAAGACATGCCAACTTACACAATCAGAACTGGACTCATCTAATGCCTTTCTAGCTTTTCTCAAAAGAACTGACCAATAACAGCAGCCTAATCTTTTTGCTTTACGTAATAATGATGCATCTAAAATCAAATAACAAAAAGTTACTACGATATAAAGATTAGATTAGAAATGTCTAAAAGTATAAAATAGACAAATTACTGAAATAGATAAATTACCTGCTCATTTGGTGAAAAAAACAATGTCATGATCCAAGAACCTGTTAGAGTCAACTATTAAGAAAATGTTTCTTTAGATTATTTGTTTGATATTGATAAGACAATTGACATACCAATAACACCACGAATCTTATCCAACATATACTGCTGGGTAAGTTCTCTGGCTGAAGACGGCCAAATTTGATGGGGAAGGTCGGGGGGTGGAGGCAGACACTTTTGCTTCATTATTAAAAAAAAGGTGAGAGATTTATACCATAACCTATCAACTGAAAGATTTTAATAGTTTCAAATGAATGGTTTGTATTTGATTAAGTACCTGCAATTTCTGGTAATCGAAGAAAACACTCAGAATCTTTCCGATTGGTTGAAAGAAATCAAATTTTTGTGGGAGATCGACCAATCGTATAGTAGTACCAACTGGTGAAGTTAGCAGTCTTGATACAATGCTACAAAATTTAAGGTCCTGTTGAACATAAAATCATTAAATCAGGTCTAGTAAGGGCAATCCAAGCAAGTACATCAACTTAATACATGCTGATTGTTCAAAGAAATAGGGTTAACCTAATATCTTATGTTACAACTCATTTTGGATAATTATTCTTGTGTGACATATAAGTTAGATAAGGACGCTTAGCTGGATGTGTGGACATACTAGGAGAGATATGATTAGGAATGAACAGAGCAAGGTGGGATTTTGCCTCCATTGAGGACAAGATGCGGGAAGCGAGACTGAGATGGTTCGGCATGCGAAGAGGAGCAACACAAATGCCCCACTGAGGAGGTGTGAGAAGATGACAGTGATAAGTCTAAGGAGAGATAGAGGTACACCGAGGAAGAATTGAGGAGGGGTGATTAGACAGGAATGGCACATCTTCAGCACACCGAGGACATGACCTTAGATAGGAGAGCATGTATGTCAAGGATTAGGATACAAGGTTAGTAGGTAATCGAGCGATTTCACTCTTTCATGTGGGAGAGCATGGCTCTAGTTTAGAGCACCTTATCTGCTCCCTCTTCTCCTTATCAGTTATTTTATTATTATCTCATTCTTTAATTCTATTACTACCGTTGTTTCTTTTACTTTGGTTATCTTTACTGTTTTTGCTGGCAATACCTTTTTTTTCTCCGGTATTTTTGTCATAGCTTTTTTACTCTTGTATTTTTCAAACTTATTTTGATAGAGTTTCTCTTGAGCCGAGGATCTATCAAGAAAACAACCTCGCTATCTCACAAAAAGTATGGGTAAGATCTATCTGCATACACCCTACCCTACCCAGACCCCACTTATGGGATCACACTAGATATGTTGTTGTTATTATTGACATGTAAGTTAGGATCAATATTATGTATCAAATTAAAAGAGCGAGTCCATAACAAACATAAATATAATTAGCTTTTCACATTTTCAACATTGTATCAAAGCATAGGTTATGTGGACCACGACTGCACAGTGCATTAGGGAAGCCGTGAGAGAGGTATTAGGGGTCTCAAAGGGTTACTTTGGTGGTCATAAGGGAGACTGTGATGGAATAGAGAGGTGCAAGGAAAAGTCGAAAACCAAGAAAGCGGCGTATCTGAAACTAGTGGAAAGTGTAGACGGGGAGGAGAAGAGGGCAAATAGGGAGCAATATAAGTTGGCTAAGAAAGAGGCAAAACTAGCAGTTACGACGGCCAAGACTGCAGCTTTTAGTCGTTTGTATAAGGAACTCGAGGGCTGAGGAGGCTCAACAAGGAGGATCAGCTCCTTTGGGGAAACATTATTAAAGCAAAATATGGACAGGAAGACAAATGGATGACTAAGGAGGTCACTACACCATATGGAGTTAGTCTATGGAGATCCATTAGATCACTGTGAAGTGAATTGAGGGATGACTCCAAGATCAAAGTATTTGATGGAAATAAGACTAGCTTTGACAATTGGCATGGAGTTGGCAGATTGGATGTGGCTTTTCCGGAAGTCTTCAATTTAGCTCTACATCAGCAAAAATTCCTCACAAAGTTGCTTGCTTCGTGTGGCTATTGGCTAAGGAAGATGTCCTTGCACAAGATAATCTGATGAAAAGAGGCCTCATCTTATGTTCTAGATGTTTTTTTGTGTGGGGACACAGCAGAGACTGTTAACCATCTCTTCCTCCATTGTAAGATAACTTCTCATCTATGGAGAATTATTCTTAACCTCAAAGGCATCTCGGAAAGTTTAGATACTCTTAAAAGTTGGGAGGAAGCAGGACTACATGAGGATAGGACTACATTGAGAATTATACCTGCTTGAGTTTGGTGGACAATTTGGAAAGAGAGAAACTCCGGATGTTTTGAGAAGGTGGAGAATGGAGTGCAGAAGATCAAGTTAAACTTTATTTTGCTGTTAAGTTTTTGGTGTAATCAGATATACACAAATGATACTAACACCATTATTGATGTTTTAGACTCAATATAGAGAGTGTTAGTGATAGATAGAGTCTCTTGTATATATGGTTTCAGTACTACCTAAGTACTGTTTTTGCTTCATATGAAATATAGAAAGTTATCAGTTTCAAAAAAAGAAAAACAATTGTATCTGAACCGCCCATTTAAAAGATGTATTAATATGACTAAATGAGTGAACTCGATACCAATATAATAGGTTTATTTGGGTTGAAATCCGTTCAAGATAATTCAGGCATTAACAATGAGCATCGCCCTCACTGTTGACAATGACATTTCACCCGCTTTCACAAGATGTAAATTATGAATTGAAACATGTGGATACAAATGTGTGCAAAGAAAGTTATCAGTTGAATCCTCATCTAACTGCCCAAATTGTGACACTCCAGACTTATCATAATGGACAGAAAGGCAGTCATTAATTAGGTTCATATTGCACCCACGTTATTATGAAGAAAAGCCTAATAGGAAGGATGACATTTAACTTAAAACATTTTCTCATTACAGCGGAAAAAAATCCGCACCTCTTTTTTTAGAATAGTAACATGAACAAAATGTGAACTTTTAACTCCATATCTTAGTAGATGTCTTTGTGATTTCAAATTATTCAAATCCAATGGAATTTGTACTAACATAAGTCACAACAAACTGGAAAGACAAAATAAAAGGTTTTGCTAAGTGAAAAACCAGCTCCAGCTCTTCAAAATCATGGGGACACATCCGAAATGAATCTATATGTTCAGCTGTCTTCTACAAAAAAGATGATTTACCTAACTCTATTAACTCTAGAAGTTTCTCAAATACTAAGACCGTCTTATTACTATAATATTTTCTAGGTTAATAATCTACAACAACAACAACAACATACCCAGTATTTTCTAGTTATTAATCTGTTAATAGGTTTGTACTATATTGATCTTATACATCATTTCTTCAAATGCATCTTTGCTATTGGATCTTAATTGATTCAAAAGTGCTTCTTTAAGAATGAAGTTATCACTACATGTCTTATCTAAGTGATAAATCCCCCCCCCCCCCCCCCAAAACCAAAAAACAACAACGATTCAAAGTTCCTACACAAAATGCGCCAAAATTCTTTGATCCGAAGCATTAATAAGTCAACCAGTTGCTTCCATGTAAACAATGTGGGTGAGTTTCCAGTCCACCAAATCTAACCAAAGCCCACCGTTTGCCACCACTAAGTCCAGGATATTGCCTCGCCACACTAGTGTTCTAAGTAAATAAACTATTTATCTCATCCTAGGGTAATATAAGGTCAAATTACCAACTGCAAGTAAGATGTGTCTTTGTTTTGTGTTATACTCACAGAGTAGGGGAACGAAATATGATGTCAGATACTCATAATGGTTAAGTGCGTAGATTTTAGTCTTATTGAATAGTTTTGGATATTAGACCCAAGATCCATTCTTCAACAGTTCAACATAACTGAAAAAACAAATTTGATGACCACTAAGTACTGTAGAAAATATCACGGTGGGAATGCACTAGAATAACCTTTGTCATCCACTCTTATCTAAACCATATACTGTGATCAGGTACAGAAGGAGATGATTCATAAGCATTTTCAATACTGAATATTTCCTGACCTGACCTTACCGACAGTCAGACGGAAAATGACCTCTTCTGATTGGTCTAAGTGATAAAACTAAGAATTCCTATATCCTGAACCCTAGCTTGCATCCTCTAGCCTCTCCAATGCCTGGATTCCCGATTAGCCACACCAAAAACCATACATCTCGGTACTAACCAAATAAAAAGAAACTCCCCCTATTAAAAAGAAGAATTTCTCCCACCTACATAAACGAAGTGAATATATGCTTAAACAAGTCAATCGTTTGACCTGAACCATGAATCTCACATTCATGATACAAGTGAAACATGGGCATTTCTTCAGCCTGTTTCCAACCTGTGAGAAGGCACGGGAGAAAATATGATATATTGATATTGTGTGTTCAATGCAATACAAGAGGTCCTTATTTATAGCTATACTATACAAGGACATACTACTCATATTCCAATGTGGGACAAGACTACATTATGTACATATCTAACACAACCCATTAAACCTCAGTATTTGCCACCAATAACCAAGATAATGCCTCAAACCCCACTAGTGATCTGAGTAAATAGTTTGTCTATCTCAACCGACAGTTATGTAATCTAAAGTATCAACTGTGAATAAGATGTGTCTTTTTCCTGTGCTGACCCTAATTCTGCTAAGCAAGGGATAGAATACATTGTCGGAATCCTTAATACAAGAATCTCACATCAGTTAAGTGTTTAAGTTGTAGTCTCTTTCTCGATCTTGAGGAACCCTCATTACTTGAATAAGCTTTTGGGGTTGAGTTAGGTTAGAGGTTCATTTTTCAACACGTTACTATAACCAGAGAACCTAAGGAGTATATTAACAATTGCAAAAAATTTCACAATAAAAAAAGACTGGAATACGTTTTCCTCCACTGTTCTTTAAAGTCTAAACTAGCATCATCCTACACGTATGGTATAACGGGAAGTTCCAGTTAATATGATCATAAGCATTTTCATCTTTGATAGTCGATCGTAAGTATTAACTTGAGAAGAATGAAAGGATGACTGAGAGAATTAAGAAGTTTGATTATTCCATGAAATCATGGAAGGAATTTATACTAGTTACATGGCTTATATTATGGTGATTGATGAGTTGCATATTCAGGAAATAATGGCTCATTTACCTTAATGAAATCAATAATGATATAAAACAACTAAATACAGATAACTAGCCAATCATATGTACCAATCACACGACTAATATTCCTCCTCAAGCTTGAGCATACGTGTCGTAGGCTCCATGCTTGTTACAAATGTCCTCTGAGGGCCTTAGAACATTTGTTATCCAGTCATAACCGATGAAGTTGTTGACAACGCGTTTGAACTTGATCTATCTAATAAAACGACAATTGACCTCTATATATTTGGTCTCTTAATGAAAGATTGAATGTAGGATAATATGAAGGGTTTGATTGAGATAATAAGGCTATACTTACTTCCTCATCATCAAGAAACTTCAACTGATTCTTCACAGCAGAAACCATTTTTTGGTGTGTCCCTTGTACCTCCAACTTTTTGAAACCTTCAAGTATGTCATGAGCTGCAAAATGAAAAGCAACTATAATTCAATTTACATTTTCTAAGGAAATTCATTAAATTACAAAATATATACTCCCTCTGTCCCATTTTATATGGTGGTATTTGATTGGGCACGAAGCTTGAGAAAACAAGAAAGACTTTTGAAACTTGTGGTTTAAAACAAGACATAGAAATTTGTGTGGCAATAAACCATTTCATTAAAAGTAAAATGGGAAGTTTAAGGTTAAATTGTTGCTAAATATAGAAATGCGTCATTCTTTTTGGACTTACGAAAAAGGAAAGAGTATCACATAAATTAGGACATGAGGAGTACCATTCTCTCCATAGAAAATAAAATATATACCTTCCATAACAATTCGTACGGTGATGTTCTGAGCTTTCTGGATTGACACCTCTGTTATCTCCTTCTCATTAATCCTGTAGGAACGACAATCTTTTATGATAATCCTGATAAACGAAAATTTAAAAGAAAAATAGACAAGATATTACTTCAACTTCTTAAGATGCTCCAATTTGACAGCAATTTCTTCATGAATCTCATCAACCTTCTTTTGGCTTCTGTAACGTAGTCTAGAATAATAATCCTGCAAACAAATTATTTCTACTTTTTATGAGAAAAGAAATTACACAAACAAAAAAAAAAAGCTATAATTAGAATTTAGACATACAATATATCTTACCATCTCCAATGGAAAGAATCTACTGGCAATCCTCACAAAGTCTTTCTCAATCCATGATTTCCATGGGTTCCCCGTCGCGTGAAGGAATTGCTCTTCAAACCGTTCAATCGCTTCAACAGCCGAAGAATAATCATAAAAATATTGCATTTCCTTATTATAAACCTGTTCCCATTTATAAAAAACATATCTTGTGGGGTTTTCCTCTATAGAATATATTTGACCAAAACAGTGACTGCAAAAAAATAGTTGTTATTAGAAGTACATTGATTTAAGGAAATATGAGAAAACAAAGTTCAAAATTAAACATATTTCGTTAAAGAAATTACCTGCTTGTACCAGTAGAATCATCAGTTTTCTGATAGTTGCCAATAAGATCATCATTCATAACCAGAAAATATTGGTATGGAATGTTTTCAAATGTCAAACGCGTTCCATCTTCGATTATATGCCTATACTTGTGTGCATGTGCACACATCAAGACGTTTTTCCTCTGTTTCTTGCTCAGGGTCTAAAAATGACTCTGCTTGGTAGTTCCTAGACTTCCTCTTCAACTGGAAAAAAAGAGAATTTGTGTGTGTGTGTATATATATACACGCACTAATTCTATTGGAAAGTAAGAAAACTATTAATAGCATCAATATTGAATACCGTTTTCAACTCCTGTTTTGTTACACTTTCTGGTATTTCCCATGGTGCAGTTGACGTCTCGACATGATAACGATAATAATTGCATGATGACCGCTTCAATAACTTTCTAGAACACTGATATTTCTCTCCGTCGCCATGGAGAATGGTTTTGCAAGTAGGGCATACGGTTCTCATAGCTCCATAAGTCAGCCCCTCGGCACTAAAAAATCAAAAAGCAAAGTAAGGTAAACTGTATTTGTTTAAGTAACATATGGAAGGTAAAAAACACATGGAAATCAAGAGAATGTACAACTTGTATACTTTTTTATTAGTAAGGTAACCAGTATTTGTCAATAAAAGGCATCCCGAAGATGCAAAAGTGCATGATTCCAACGTAAAATCATAGAACTATAAAAGTCCAAATGTTGATTTGCATCACTTAGACCATTGTTTTTTGATAAAGTAAATAATTTTATTAATGAAGGGAACTTGAAAACCCGTATACAAGAGGTATACCAAAAAGGCAGGAAAACCTACAAAAAAGAGATGATTTTCTACAAACGACACCCAATCTTCTATACAACAAGGGATTTCATGTGTGCACCAAAAGTAAATACGAGAAAAAAGACTACTCCTCAAATGAACAAAATCCATCCCTACTCCTTCAAAAGCTCTTCTATTTCTTTCTTTCCAAACAACCCACATAAGAGTTAAAGGAGCAACCCTCCAAGCTTCGCGCATGTTTCTCCGACTCCCACAGAACCAGTTGAACATTACTTCTTTTACCGTATGTCACATCACCTATGAGATTCAAAACCAATTGAATATTTCCCACCATAACCTCGTTGCAACGCTACAATGTAGAAGGAGATGGTCAACATCTTCGCCGGCCCCCTTGCACATGAAACACCAACTAACCTAAGCGACCATCTTCTTTATCAAGTTCTCTGCCGTATAAATCACTCTCCTTGATGTTAACCATGTAAAGAAACACACCTTTCTCGGAACCTTCGAAATTCATATTGAGCTATGAAGGAACTCAACCCCCTCCCTAACCAATAGCTTCTCATAAAATGACCTAACAGAAACGACTCCATTATTTCTCATCCCACCTTCACAAATCGTGGGAATCCGGTGTCGAATTTTGTTTGTGGAGCATAACTAGCATTCTAGCAAACCTTGAAACTCTGTCACCTCCCAATCTTGTAGGTTCCTCCTATATCTCAAATCCCAAAAGACTTCCTTACCTCGAACACTTCTAATTTGTTCAATTGTCAGCTCCTTTTGGCCTAAGACTCTATAAATATTTGGAAAGGCAACTTTCAAAGTGTTATCCCCACACCACATATCCTCCCAAAACTTACCCTCCTCCCGTCCCCCATTCTATAAGATACGTGGACACTGAATTCTTCCCATCTCTTCATAATATTCCTCCACAATCCACACCCAGGTAGTAAATTGACATCCTTAGCTCTCTCTCCCCCTTCCATAACCCCAAATTTATCTACTATCACCTCTCCAAAAAGCACGATCCTCCACCTCAAATCTCCATAACTATTTACCTAATAAAGCCTTGTTTAACACCCTAAAATATTTAACTCCAAGCCCTCCCCAATGCTTCGGAGTCGTCATAGTCTCTCATCTCACCAAGGGTCTAACGAATTCCCTAAGAGATTCCTTTGAACCAATGTATTACCAACAACAAGGAAGATAAGACACTCTTTTTGAAGCCTTAAAGAAATACTTATATAATATATGATCGCAATGAGTTTGCCCTCTTTGTTTTCTCTTGGAGTGTATACAACCCCTACCAAAACAGAATAATACGAGAAGTAGTTTTATATTCTAGTAGAGTTGTAGATTAGAAATGACAAATCATGATATTAGTAGTCAAATCAGACACAACCTCTAGAGTTACACATAGGTCCATAGAAGCATGTTTAGTTGAGATTTTATTTTTTAATGCACTCATGTACTTTTTTAATATAAAGTTATATGGTTGCTCTTCCATTAATTAGGACTTCTTGTATTGGTTATTGGGTGTTGTGGGGCCATGATGACAATTTATATACGATAACTACAATCTTACACATCAAATAGATATATCGACACCTTAAATTATTTTACTAAGGAAAACAAAAAGGAAAAAGAAAAGTAAAGAATCACATACCAGATGTTTATCAGAGAATCATAAGGTATAAGCTCTGGCAGATCTGGGCCATTCAAGTGTATCATACTAATCAAATCTTCACGTGGCGGTTTCATAGTTGAAAGTTGACCTATAACAGATGTCATATAGCGTTCTCCCATGGTAGCTAATAACAAGGAGTATCTACAAAATAAGTATTGCAATCACTTGTCAATACAAATATCTAGTTATCAGAGTAGAATCAGTATTTGACCTTTTTCTGCCAAATAAATTTCAAAGGAGAAAATATATATATCTTTCCCTTTCAAGTTCTACCATATTTACTACTCCGAAACTGAAATGTAGTAGTAGTAGAAAGGTGTTAGGCACTCTCCAAGTCCCGTGAAAGTCACGGTTACGTACTCGATCTAGTTGACTTTTAAAATATTGAAATTGAGGTAAAAATAAACACAGAAAAGAAAAATAAACACACAAGAGGCTCGAGGTCGTCCCCACCTAATAAAAGAAAATAAAAATAAAAGTAAAATAAAAGTACTAAAAGTTCTATACTACGTTAGGCTAATGCTCCATCGATGATGCCTCGGCCTCCAAATACATGATACTACAGGGCATACCAACAACAACAGCAACCCAGTGAAATCCCACTAGTGGGGTCTGGGGAGGGTAGTATGTACGCAGACCTTACCCCTACCCGAAGGGGTAGAGAGGCTGTTTCCAAAAGACCATCGGCTCAAGAAGACAAAAAGACAAAAAGAGACAATATCAGTATTATCACAGAAATCATAAGAAAATATAAGAAAAACAGGAACATAAAATCCAGAAGAAAGCTGCAAAACAAAAGCGATAACTAGTAAATAGGTCCGGCACTAAAAAAAAATAGTAAGACACGACATTGCCACCCGTTACCTAGACAAAACCCTACAAGATTATCCGGGGCATACCCCGGATAAAATATATACAAAGTCTACAGGCATTCCCCGGATAAACTAAAGGGAAACGACCTCTTACCTCGAATAAAAATGAAATAAAAGACCTAAGGTTTGCCTACCCACGTTTCGACAGCCTAAACATGCTTCTAACGGAAATGTCAAACAAAAATATTAATTTAAACTATGACTCTATTGAACAAATCGGCATGGTAAAACAATAATCCAAGACGTAAACCCGTTAAAGACTATATCAGTGTAAAGCCTGAGGTGTCAGCCAAACATCTGTCACACCTCCTTTTTACACCCGAGGGATATATAAGGGAGTTTTTCCAATTAAAGTGACATTAATCGAAATGGGATTGTTTTATTTATTTCAGAGTCGCCACTTGGGATATTTTTTTGGTGTACAAAGTCACCGGTTTATTTTTAATCTCAAATCGAGGAGAATTTTGACTTTATTTTAAAGTCTACGAAACCAGAAAACTAGGTAAGGAATTCTGTTAACCCGGGAGAAGGTATTAGGCATTCCCGGGTTCCGTGGTTCTAGCACGGTCGCTTAACTATTAATAATTGGCCTAATTATCTGATTTATTACATGTTTTAAACCTATTGTGCATTTTTAACTTTATGATCGCTTTTAGTTATTTTAAACTACTTTTAGGATTTATGGAACTATTTCTTGAACAAGTTACGATTGTCGTACACTTGTTGTTTTGGGACACATCACAAACAACGCTACATGAAATGTACCCGCGATTTGCGACTTTATTTTATTATTATTCAAAGTTGTTATGATCAAGTCACATGAAATGCACACCCGAATTTGGGAATTAGGTATCATAACTATGTCACGGGAACCGTACCCATAGTCACGATGATTTAATTACGCGCCTAAAGCATACTACAATGTTCAAATCATTTCCTAAACTATTTTGAGATTATTGTGAGGCCATGAGTTATGGAAGTCAATTGTGTCCAACTCATCCTCACAAATCACAGGTAGAGCTATCACTGAATTAATTTTACCATAAGATAATAGAGCGTCTACTTTATAAAAGTTAACAAAACACTTCACAGTAATCTAAACACACATTGACAATAAATATAGAACTTAAACAATGTATAAAGCTAACTGGAATCTAAAATAAAACATCCTATAAGGAAACCAAAAAGGTTATCTTGAAAAACTCATCCTAGCAAAATCTATTTCACTGCCAACTGAAATAATCTAATAAAAAAAAAAAGAGACTTCCTCTTTACTTTGACAGTGCGTAACTACTCAAGACACAAAGTTGTCATTGAGGGAAAGAGGGGCGAGTTGGTCAGCAGGGCTATTAGCCTCATTTGACTTTGGCCTTCAACGCCTCTGGTGATTCAAACAAATGCAAAACCCCAATTTGATCCATCTCAAGAAGCATGAATAATTAGATACTAAAGTATTAACTAGAAATAGCATACATTCTTCCCTTAATTAAACATGAGCAAACATCTAAATACACTAAGAACATTTAGAAGCAAATAACACTATTCAAAAGCAATATATCATATCAAACATGTGTCCTTTAGTCACTTAAGTTTATCTTTGCAGCATTTACCAAACAAGAGAAAATAATTCAGATTGTAAACATTTAAACCAATTTCTAAACATATATGCAGAGTATTCTATAACTTAAAATAAACCAAATCCATGTATCTACTTCAACAATTTGACTGACTTATGAGGTAAAGATTGATTCGGTCGAAATAATTTTCCTCTCGTGTACTTTCAGAAATATTTTCCTCGACTGTTAATTCATTTATTGCGACAATCTTAGTATTTTAAGCAAAATTCCGTGAGCAATCAGTAAACCCCTCCAAACATGCATTTGAAAGCTTAAACAAGCAAAGCTATTCATTAACTAGACAAACAATAAAACAACAAAGCATGAGATATTCAGTGGATTAAATACACATAATGGAATTGAAGTGCACCTTTGAGAATTTCCTTTTCAAAATTGATTCAAAACCTTCAGCAACGTACAAAATGCAGAGGAAAACGAAACTCGGCAAAGCGCCGAGAACAGCAATAGTAGAGAAGAGCAACAGCAGAGCGGAGCAACAGCATAGGTGTCACACCTTTTTTACTACCCCGAGAGGGAGCAAGGGAGTTTTTTTCAATTTAAGTGACAATCGAAACGGGATTATTTATTCAAAATCAGAGTCGCCACTTGGGATAATTAATGGTGTCACAAGTCACCGGTTTGAAATTCCGAATCGAGGAAAGTTGACTCTATTTACGGTCTGCGAACACAGAAATCCGGGTAAGGAATTCTGTTAACCCGGGAGAAGGTGTTAGGCATTTCCGAGTTCCTTGGTTCTAGCACGGTCGCTTTGATCATACTTGGCTTATAAAATTGTTTAATTACTCATTTTAGAACCTATGTGCATTTGCCTTTTACCGCTTTTAAATTAAGAAGATTATCTTAAAACGGGTCACGCGTACGTGTACCTGTTTGTTTGGCGCGTCAAAAATCATGTCACGCGAACGTGTCCACGACTAATAACGCTTTATTATTATTGAGAAAAGTTTGGCCGAAGTTGCGCGAACGCATACTCCGGTTTTGTTTTTAAAGATCGCAATCATGTCACGCGAACGTGTCCACAATCACAATGATATATTAAACGGGCCTAGAGCAACTACGAGTATTCATCATCATTTTTTTTATATCTACATCAACAATATAATTTATATCAATTAGTACAGCCTTTGACATAAATAATCCATTGTGGAGTCTCTTTATACTAACATGTTCATAATTCCTTTACTTAGTAAGTATACTAGCTCCATCAGGGAAAATGGATCAGATGTTGAAAGATCACGATCGCCATGTCCAAGAAGCTGTAAGACGGGCACGCTTGGACAAGGCAAAAGCTAAGAAAATTCAGATTGAAGGAAACCAATTATCAGCCAATTCATTATTTGTTTATGGCCGATGACTTTCTATGCGAGTGACGCGGCTAAGAACAGCAACAAAAAAAAAGAGACTACAGAAAAATCATAATTAGTAGTACTTAGTATCTTGTAAAATGAGTTTAACTTGAAAAGGATGAGAGGAGTTTGTATAGAGGTTGTTTAAGGAAGGGGTAGTGTTGGGCGTTATTTTTTTAGCCATTTGTAGAAGAATTTATTAGGAAAACCTCATCTTCTTCTGCTATTAAAAGACAACAAAATTCACTATTCTGGCCACTACTTTTGTCCTATTTCATGACATAATTCGACTCAAGCAGATGACAAAAATAGTATGAATCAACATATACTCCCAAATCTCAATCTAGTTTTAGAAGATTGTTTTAATAATTAATGCTTGGATTCAAAGGATAGAAAAGTCAATACAGAGAGTAGCATAGAGCAACACTTTAATAACCTTTATATCTACTTCATAAGCAATAAAGGGAAATTACATATCTGGTGGAGTAAAAAAAAACAATGGAAATAATTTTTACATCTTCTCAAAGGACAAAACTAACTTTGCATTTCCATTTTTTGACCTCTCGCTCCCTTCTACAACCCCTCGTCTTTCAGTTCAAACAAAACACATAAGCATTTCTAACAGTAACACAACATAAAAGCATTTCGATTCAAAACAAATAACTGCAGTCAACAACTAATTTGCATTGCTTCAAGTTGAAATTACAATTTTGAGGATTGAGCTGTACCTTGGTATGCAAGGAAAACGAAAATGAAGCAATAGGAGGAAAATGGAGCTCAGCACCAGAGGAAATAGCAAAATCAACAGAGATTCTAGTGACTCCAATTTCAACCCAAAAACAAACTTGAAATCCCAGAGATCAAACCAAGTGTATGGCAGAAACTAGAACTTATCCAAATTTCTTTCTCGTCTTTTGTTTTGAAACGCCGATCTGCCTCCCTGTTTCTGCCTTTTCTCGGTCAAATGAGGAAGAAGGAACCAGAAACGGCGTCCTTCGTTTCTCAGATGGGGGTTCTTAGTTTGCTATCTGTATTTTGGGAGCCTTCATTATTTCGTATTGAAAACGGAAAAGGTCCAAAAATATGTTAACCGTTCGAAATAGCTCAAAAATATCCTCCTTTGTTTTTATGCCAAAAATATCTCTGCCGTCAATATTTTGGCCCAAAAATATCCCTCAATCGTTAGTTTTGACATTAAAACCGACATGGTAGTCCAACTCGGTTAGAATTACTTACATGGTCGTCCATCTAAGCAATCCATATGTGAAATTTTTTTTTTCAAAAAATTTATTTTTCCAAAATTTTTTAATAAAATATAAAATCAACATTTATTCTAAAAAAAGTAAAAAAATTCGAAAAAATATTTATTTCAGAATTTTTTAATTAAATTACAAAATCAACACATATTCCGAAAAAAGTAAAAAATTTACGAAAAAATTATTCTTGATTGGGATTTATGATTTGATTAAAAAAACTCCATTGTTCTCTTTTATGAATTTCGGAGTTATGTNCTCCTTTGGCATGTTCTCACAGGCATAATATCTCTTTCCAAAAATTGTTGGTTTGCCACATTTTGATTACTGTTTCTGATTTGTACTGCTAGGTTTTTGTAATGACATCATTGTATGCCTCCAAGCTACTGCATCATCTAATGTCTTGTATATTGATCTCCATGAATGATTTCAAAAAATTGATTTGGATCCAAATGCGATGTTCTTGTTTCTAGTATCCTTCAGGCAGACGAAACTTGTAAAGATGAAAGCTTTTAAAGAATTTCTTGTGATGAGTTTGTCAAGTACTTCTATTAGGCGTGCTACAAGCATATGGTAACTGCCTAAAACTGCTCTTTGTGCAATTCAAATTGGCTTGTTTATTCTAGCTTTGAGGGGGTAAATGATTTTGTACATTTGAGAAATATCTTCTTAATCCCAGTTTCTTTGGGTGCACCCCATGAGTTCCAACTGGTATTGAAGATTTCTTTCATAGAGAATCATGTCTTTTTGTAGGTTTACTTTTCGAAATACCACTTGTATAAGGGAGGTTTTTGGTGTTCCTAGCTTTATTGTAAGTGTTATAACTCACTTCATTCAAAAATATAAATAAAAGAATTGGCTTTTTTTTTTGTTAGGATGTGGTAGCAATAGGCCGACATATTCAGCCTTCGCAAATGCCATTATAGTTTGTCTTTATTAGAAAGTGAAGGGTGAATGTAAATGTTTAGCTTATTGTGATACTCCTAAAGGGGATTTTTGCTTTTGCTAAAACTGAATCCTACTTTTGGAGTTGCAAATGCATCAATCAGACACAGGTGCATGATCTCCTATGGGATGCTTTTGAGGATTTATGTTGATATAGTGCCTATTTATAGTACTGTCGGATCGGCCAATTAGTTATCTAATGTAAGTTTCTCTTGTGTGGATTCTCTATGTAGGTTAAGTAAAATGTGGAAAGGCATGCTTGAGTGCCTATTTCTAGTACTGTCGGAGTGAAGAAATCATTTAAAAAAAAAAGGGTGTAAAAAAAAAAAAAAAACTGAAAAAATGGCCAGCACTGGCTCGTCTAAATTCGCGTCTAGACGCGAAGGCAGACGCGACCAGGCCATCCACAAAATAAAAAAAACAGTCAAGTGAGGGCATCGCGCGCCTCACTTCGCGAATTGTTAAATTTTTTTGTTTTTTTTAAGAATATTTTTTCTTTCTTTTTCTTCTTAAAGCGTTATAGTTATTTCTAATAGCTGTATTCCCCAATTTCGCACCCCCCACCCCTCGTTCTACATTCTGCCATCCAAGATCAGGTAAGTCAATTGCTTGTTAGGTTTTTTTTTTTTTTGTTTTCTTTTCCAAGTTTCGTTCACAGTGTTCCGTTTTGTTTCGTTCACATGTATCAATTGCGGTGCACAGTGTTCCGTTTTTTTTTGTTGTTTTTGTTGTTTTTGTTTCATATAGTTTCGTACCACCCTCCCCCCTTGCGTCAGTTATAGTTGTTCTCCTTGTTTGCAATTTCTTGTTATGGGTTACTTTAGGTAGAAGTAATTGAATTGTGAATTTTGGAGCATAATTTTCTCTAGATTTTGTTGGTTGTTATTCATAGTGAGGTGTAAACTACAATTCCCACTACCTCACTCAAATTGGGAGGGCAAAGCACATGTTACTTGCTTTGATACATGAGGGTAGAAATTATGCATATAAGATGTTCGACAAATTGCCCGATTGAGAATTTTGTTTGTTTTTGTGAAGTCTGAGTAGCAAAACTCATTGTTTTGGTAATATGAACATCTCTTTGGTGTGGGCTAGCCGTTGGGGGTCTTTGCACTTAAATTGCATCCGTTTTAGAACAAATGTCAACCCTCGGCCAACTTCGGCACGACTTGCGCGCGACGTGTGCGTCTGCCTACCCATTTGATTTTCCATGATGAGAAGTAACCTTAAATCACTGTCATTAAGCTGTAGTAGGCATTTGTACCCTGGTTGCACACTTACGCTTTCGGTCTAAGTGTGGGGTGCGATGTATACCACTATGACTTAAGGTTATACATTATACTAATATGTGTTTTGTATCTTTTGCAAGCGATATGGCCGTCTCAAAAACACCAACTAGAAGCCATGGAGCCGGTGGTACTGGTAAGCCACCCCCAAAGAAAGCACCAACTGACAAGAATGTAGCAGAGAAGGGTANGCAGATACTAACCTTGATACAGACATCTGGAGGTAATTGATTTCCTAATCCACTTGCTTTTTTTGCTGCTTAAACAACTGTTGTCTTTGGTTTCAATTGAGAATATACCTTCGTAGTTATTAACTTTATATCTGGACTGCTTGTGTTAATAGTCTGAATGATCAAGATAGCAATGCAATTATATTGCCAGACAAGAAAAAGAAGAAGAAGACAGAAAAGGAACAGGTATAAACAGAAAATCAATATGTTATACATGTTTGAACGTCTTCACAGATGACCGATTGCTTTTATTTTTTTCATATCAGGTATCGAAAAAGCTTAAAACGAAGAATAACATTAAGTTAAGTCAATCTCA